AAGAAAACAATAAGCACAAAATTACCTCTTTTATAAATGCTTCATTAAAAGATTTTGACCCATGGAGTAATTTAAGTGCAACATTTTCCCACACATTTTGTTGTTTATTTTCCCATCTGGCATAATATACTGTTGCAAATCCGCCCTTTCCTATTTCTTCAATATCTGTAAATTCTTTATAAGAAATCCATAACAATGGATATTTTTCTTCAAACAATAATTTTTTTACACAATCATCAATATTAGAATTTTCATTTTTCCATTCATCAGTGGCTGCAAAATGGTTTATTTGTCGGGATTTTGGATGATCGTGAGACAAAAATCATATTGGCTGATCACACTAAATCTAACCAATTAGATGCATTACCTCACGATCATCCCAATCTCAACATCATCCCCGACATTAAAATTAATAAATATTAACTGCTTTAAAAGTGTTTGACCAAATATATAGTATTAGTTATTTAATTACCTAACATCTTGTCTTTTTCCCTAATAATTGTTAGAAATATATGTCATAAATTATAATTTAATAAATAAAAGAGTTTAAAATAGATTCTACGTATTTACATTTGATACCAATAGTTAGCCATCAGCAAATCTTTTTGTATTCCAATTCCATTTCGATAACAATACCCAACTTCTGACATTCCCTTAGCATCTCCCATCTCTGCTGATTTTTTATAAAAACTGAATGCTTTATGTTCATCCTTTTCAACACCAGCTCCATTTCGATAACAATCTCCAACCATGTATGTTCCATAAGCATCTCCCATTTCTGCAGATTTCTGAAAATAATTAAATGCCTCTTTTTCATCCTTTGCAACTCCAAATCCATCTTTATAACAACATCCAACATTATATATTCCGTCAATATTACCCATATCAGCAGATTTTTTATAATAAGTAAATGCCTTATGTTCATCCTTTTCAATTCCAATACCTTCGTCATAACAATATCCAACATTAAATGTTCCCATAGCATGCCCCATCTCTGCAGATTTTTGATAATAAATAAATGCTTTATGTTCATCCTTTTCAATTCCAATTCCATCTTGATAACAATACCCAACATTATGTGTACCGCTAGCGTGCCCCATCTCTGCAGATTTTTGATAATAAATGAATGCCTTATGTTCATCCTTTTCAACACCAATTCCATTCTGATAACAATATCCAACTTCAAATATTCCATCAGAATTATCCATCTCCGCGGATTTTTGATAATAGATGAATGATTTACGTTCATCCTTTTCTACTCCAATTTCATGCCGATAACAATCACCAAGTGCTAATATTCCATTAACATTACTCATTTCTGCCGATTTTTGGTAATAAATGAATGCCTTACGTTCATCCTTTTCAATTCCTATTCCATTTTCATAACAATATCCAACTTTAAATATCCCATCAGCGTTATTCATATTTGTAGATTGTTGATAATAAAGGAATGCCTTATGCCCATCTTTTTCAACTCCTATCCCATGTTGATAATTGTATCCAAGATCATAAGGGTCTAAAATAGTTGGTTTTTTATAAACAAAATAATTATAAATCTCTTTCATTTTGCTATTTAAGTATGAAAAAAAAAGTAATATGTACGACAGGCACACAAAGTGACACATTTTGCGATTTAATGATTTAGTATTAATGCTTAAGTATCCTAGTGTTCTGGTGTTCCAGTGTTCTAGTGTTCTAGTGTATCAATGTTCTAGCGTTCTAATGATTTATTGTCTTAGTGATTTAGTGTTTTAATGTTATAATAATTTCTTGTTTTACTAATTTAGCGTTTAGTAGCTTAACGTTAATGATTTAGTGTTTAAAAGGTTTTAATGTTACGGTATAAGATTTTGATGGGCTATTCCGGTAATTAGATAAGTATATATTTAAATATACAAGTAATTCAAGTTCATAAATACACGTCTGAAATATGCATCAGGTTTATGGCTCAAATGAAAATTTTTAATGTCGGTTTATTAAATACAAAGGTGTTATTTATACAAATTATAAGAATTAAAATATTTGACAAAACGCACATTTTCTTTGAATTTTTCTAATTAAAATGCATATTGCCTATCATCAACCACTACTATTTTTCCTAAATCATAAAACAGTAAGTCAAAAGGTGGCTAATCAGTGATACATTAGCGAGATGACAATTGCAAACTGTCCTACCTAAAAAATTTCACTGGTCAATCAGATTTCAAGATCAGGTGTGACGCAGAAGAAGCACAAAAAAAACAAACCCCAAAAAATCACCCATAACTCAACATTTTATCTATGAAACCACCTTGTGCGCGCTAACAAAAAAGTTCTTGCAAAATTTTGATAATCCCAAAGCTCTTTCTAACCTAACTTAATAGCAAAACCTAACTCTAATCTAACAGCGAAATTTTTTTTAGCGAAATTTTTTAGGTTGGCAACGCTAGACCAGTTACAATTGCATGAATGATCCCCGTTCTGACAAGAAAATTCCAGTAAATGCAATGGGGAAGGTTAAGTAGAAATTTAATGAAATTACCAGTTCAGGTGTTTAGTGTTCCGCGCGGATCCGAAACGAAAACCGGATCGAATCCAAGTTCGGATCCGGATTTGGATCTAAAAGATCCGGGATATAGACAATAGCACGATATGATTGATTGAAATTTTATGTAACTAGTTAGCGCATCCAATGTTACATAATTGCAGATTCCTGAAAAAAACTGGAAACCGTCAAATTTCTTCACCCGTTACATCATAAGTTACTCGCCCGCAAAAAAAATATCCCCCAACTCTGCTGTCTTATTATATAGATTCTGAATCCACTTAAATTCCGTTTCCACTTACAACAAATAAATTGATCTGAGTGAGAATAATAATTACAAATAAGGTTCAAATTTAAAATAGTTACATATAAGGAATCTATATACAATCAAGAGTCCAAATTTATCGTAACTAATTAGATTGAAACTTTTAGCATTTAAAATTAAATAAATGTAATATTTTTTGACAGTTAAACATATATATTACTTTCAATCAATATTGTATGTAAAAATTATAACTGCTTATGCAAATTTTTAAAAGTAATTTAAAATTCTCTAGGAATGCAGATGAGTTTTTGCGGTTCTAAATATTTTCGATTAACGCATAGTAATATAGAGGTTAGTTTAAAACCGAATAAACATTACAATATTTACAAATATCATACTTAACCTAGCTGAATCGTATCTTGGTTCATTAAATGAAAGGGTATGTATAAAATATATAACTTAATACATATATATGTTGTACGTCGCTTTACGATTCCTCTGAGTTTGAAATTAACGCATGTTATCTCAAAATTTATACCGATTGAAATGTAACATACGTCAACCTCTACTGAGCCCAAATTTAACTACACGATACTTTTTTTAATTAAACCAAAAAAAGATTTTTTTAATCGCTCAAATTTAATCGTATGATGCATAATAATATGATACGTAATAAAATTTCTAAAAAAATTAGACTTTAAATGAGATTTCAATAATTTTTATCGTATTTTTTATTTTTTTCGCATCGATATGGCTTCCAATAATTCAACGGCTTTTTCATTTTTATCGCTTGAAACGTTTGAAAAAATTGTTACTGATTATATGAATAAATGAAAGAACGAAAGACATATAATGAATCGTTCAAAATATAATCGTTGTATAACACTTTTGCGAAATCCTAAAAGTAACCATGAAAATGCAAACTTTAAGTATTGGGTTACTCATACATTTAAACTAATTAAAGTTGGAGTGATTGAAGAACTTAATATTAAGTCTGAAAATGATAATCGTGGTACACAAGTTTGTCCCATAGAAGATTTTTATAATGTAATTTGTCAGGCCCACCAGGATACCGAACATGGTGGGCAAGAAAAAACCTGGTTGAAAGTAAGCCTATAATTTTAAGAAAAAGTGTTTTAAATATATATTACATATATATTTAAAGTTTTATTTATATTAATAGATTCGGCAAAGGTACTGTTTTATACCTCAAACTATTGTAGAAAATGCCGTGAAGCAGTGTAATGTATGTGTTACATGACGTGCAACAAAACGAATACCTGCTATGAAACCTATAATTGCAGAGAAATTTCTTGCGCACGTTCAGGTAATATCTATATTTATACATATAATTTAGTATAAGTATTGTCTATTACAAATTAATAATAAATTAATTATAACATAAATTAAAAATTTTTAAGATCGATACAATAAGTATGACGGCAATACCAGATAATGAGTTCAAATATATTTTACATATCCGTGATCATTTCACGAGATTTTCTGCTGCAGAACCTGCAATTTCTAAATCTGCAGAAGAAGCTTCTAGCTTTCTTTTACGATTTTGTTTAATGTATGGACCACCATTAGTTTTACATTCAGATAATGGTGGTGAATTTGTAGGTGATGTAATCAAAAAAACTGTAAAACTTTGGCCATCAGTTAAATTTATACATGGGAGGCCACGGTATCCTCAATGCCAAGGTTCTGTTGAGAAAGCGAATGATATTCTTCAGACAAAACTAGGATCTTGGATGGAAGAAACCAAACGAACAGATTGGAGTGTTGGATTATCATTTATAATTTGTAAGTTTTGCTTTAAAAAAAAAAAATAATAATAAATTATTAAAATAAAATTTTAATTTTATAGAGGCAATGAATAATCAAATATGTAATGCAACGAAATCAACACCATATGAACTTGTATTTGGCCAACAACCACAAGCGGATTTACAAATGATTTCAATACTTCATCAGCAAGATATTTTTCATGAAGAAAATATTCCATTAGAAAATCAATCTTCATTAATTAATAACTATGGTAAAAAGTTAAATAGATTAGTAGTAAACTAATAAATTTTTGTTCAATTAACTACTTATATACTTTATTTTAATTTATTTATAGAGAATGACAATAAAAATAATAAAATAATTTTAATCGAAGATAGCGATAACAATATTGACAATAATCTCGAATCTAATGATAACAAAATGAATATTTCACGAGATCATAGTATAATTGAAGAATCTACTAATTGCGATATTGAACTGCAAAGCTATTCTTGGAACAAAAAGGAAAAATGGCGTACATCAAATTCTAATTTAAATAATAATGATGACAATAACGATTATAACTATAATAATGTAAATATTAATTATAATTTAATAATTATTATATTATTATTAATAATAAAACATTTAATTTTTATTTATTATATATTTAGGATTCATTATATCGCTACAATTCTATAGACTTAGAAAATACATATAATTATTCAGCAGGTACTATGTAAACACTGATGGAAAAAATTTCACATTATTGCCGCAGGTTAATATTAAAATCATTTAATATAAAACTTGCGGCATAATATCAATTTTTTCCGTAAGTGTATACATCATATCTGCCAAATAAACTAGTTATCCAGCATGATGGTGACGAATACAGTTATTAACAGAATAATAACAACGCATGTGGCCTTCAGCCACATGCTTTGTTATCATCCTGCCAATAACTGTGTATTCGTCAGATCATGCCAGATAACAAGAAATAACTCTGATATCTTATTAGATGAAACATTTCAAGACTATAAATCGCATGACAATTTATCTCAAGCTGATACAATTTCTGAAGGTTTAACTCAAGAAAGTACTAATTCGTTATTTGAAGAATCTTCACAAGAAAGTTGTTCATATACTTTAATTGAAGATTCTGATCATGAAAGTCTTATGTCAATCGATAATCAATCACATTCAAGCCGTTCAAGTTTTGATAACCATAAGCAATTATGGGATAAAGCACTACAACAAGTTAAAAAAAATAGGCAAATTATTCGTAGTGTTATGGAAAAGCGGCATAAAACTAAACGGTCTTTAATTTAAATCTAGGTAATTTTATAATCTTTACTCTGATTATTATTGTAAGCAATATAAAACTAAATATAGTATAACTTTAAATTCAGGTGATCTAGTAAAAATTCGAATTCCAGATATTGACAAGCTCAAATTGGATAGACGTTCATTGCCTTGTAAAATCATTCAAAAAAACCCCAACAGTGATGCCTATCAGGTTGGATATAAGTTTAGAATCCTGGATACATGGTATTCAGCAAATGAATTAGAGCCATTGGGCACTAATGAATACCCAGCACTTGATGTTATTCTACTTGGGACATTTGTTTCTTTAAGGAATGCCGCAGCTCAACAAAACTTAACACATCTAATACAAAAAACACAGGGAAATAGTGATAATTTATTTATTCAAGGCCAAACAATTACACAAACAAAACAAAGCTCCTCTCAAAAAAATAATTGTCATTGCAGCAAAATGAATTGTACAACTAAAAGTTGTTCATGTCGCAAAAATAATACACTTTGCACAAGACGTTGTGGTTGTGTATTGAGAGGTGAATGCAAAAATCATTGATTGTATGATTGGTATAAAGCATACGTTAATTATTACTCTGCTAAAATGGACGAACATATAATATTAAACATTATTGTCTTTATAAAACCAGAGTTAGTGTACGTAAGGCATTGGGGTATGCGATATCATAGGATTTACAAATCTATTGAAGATCATGTATTAAAAGTCGGTATGAAATTTTTGACATAACCTATAATT